ATTCCTATTATTCTCAGGTTTGGTCTTTTTATTGTGTCCCATATTTCCTGAATGTTTTGTGATGAGAATTTGTTGGCTTTGCTGTTTTCTTTGATCAGTGCGTTTATTTTCTCTATGGTGTCTTCAGAATCTGAGATTCTTTCTTCTATTTCTTGTATTCTATTGATTATGCTTGTTTCTGTAGGCTCTGCTCGTTGACCTAGATTTTCCGTATCCAGCTGGTCCCCAGTTTGTGCTTTCTTCCTTGCTTCCATTTCAGTTTTCAATTCTTGAACTGTTTCCATTACCTGTTTGTTCATTTTTTCTTGGTTTCCCAGGGTCTCATGTACGTATTTACTCAATTCTTCAAACTTTTTGTTATACTTCTCATCCATTTCTATAAAGGTGTTTTTTACATATTGTTTAAGGGACTCTATTGCTTTCATAAAGTCGATTTTTTCCACTTCTTCTGTGTTAGGGTGTTCAGGTCCTTCTGTTGTAAGATCATTGGGTTCTGGTGCTTTCATGTTGTTTTTCAGCTTATTGGGACCCACTTTCTTCCTTGGATTGTTCCCACAACATGAAATGGGTAGCAGGCTCCAATGGGCTTCAGAACGAGCTCTGAGTCCTCCCTGCTAGAGCTGATCTGAGAAACCAGGTCCTAAGAGGTTCTTAGGGCTAGGGCTCCCCTTTATTTCCTGACTCATTCTTGCAGGCACAAAGGTGTCTCTCAAAGCTAGGATCACTTCAGTCAGGTTGCGGAGATGCACATTCTCCACATTCTTGGAATCCCTGAGGCTCCTAACCTCCCAGCTTCCTGCCCATCTCTCAGGAAGGAAAACCAAGACCACTGGGAAGGTGGAGAAGCAGGGGTGACAGAGTGGTTCAGGTGTGGCAGGTGACCTCAGGCTGGCTAGGACACAGAGCTTGGCCTCCCCTTCTGACCAGGCATTGCTTAGCAGAAGGCCAGCATTGAGCTTTCTGGGGCAGCTGGGGTGTCCCATGGTCCTGTGTGGGGACATCAGTGTCAGGCTGCACAGCCTTATTATTAGGACATCTCTGAAGGCAACGGGGAGGGGCTCTTCTGGAGCGGAAACTTAGAGAGCAGGCGGTGCCGTTCACTAGGGCAGGGCTATGAGAGGGCCGGAGGGCAGCCGGCTGGGCTCAGGCCAGGAAAATGTCTGGAGTCCGGATTCCAGGCCAGAGGCCAAGTTCTTAAAGTGCCCCTAGCAGTCACTCTTTTTTTTTTTTTTTTGTTACCTCCAGGTCCCTCTCCGACACCGGCAGAGGTTAAGGCAGGAGTCACCTTGGAATTAAATACTGCTCTGCCCCTCACAGCTGTGTAGTCTTGTGGACGAGATTTAACTTTTCTGAAACTTGACCCTCCTCCACATTCATCCACCCACAGGGTCGTGAGTGGGTAAGTTCATGTAAGTTGAAGCCCCCATTTTAATAGAGCATTGATTGTACCACGCCCCTTGCTGATACACCCCTACTTTGGGCGGAGGATGTAGTTGGAGTGCACAGAGTCCTTGGTTTGGTCCCCAGCACTAACTGAAATGGGTGCAGTGTGTGCTTATAACCCCAGCACTCAGGAGGTAGAGGTGGGGAAATCACCTCCTGCTGAGCTGCCTAGCGAGTTCAAGGCCATCCTGGGCTACTTGTCCAGACTGGGCTACACGTCCAGACTGGGCTACATGAGGCTCTTTCTCTAAATCAATCAAAAATAAAATAATAAAAGTTTATGCTGGACCAGAGGGGGCTCCAGTGGCTCCATCCTGTGGTGTTGAAGATTAAAGGAGGTTTCTGCAGAGCATCGAGTCACCAGTGTCTCTGCGTTGATAATAACGATGCTGAGTTCTGTACCTGATGGTAAGTCTCAGGTACCTGGCATCTAAATGCAGTGGCTTTCCCAGTATGTGGGACAGAGAACACCCTGCTGCCTCCCCTTTCCTGGAGCACAGAGTCTGCCATGGAGTAGATTTAATGGGATACACGCAGGGGATTTTACATTTGGTGGTGGAGGACCAGCAGGATAAAAATCCCCCCACTCCCAGGTTTACAGGGAATTAGTGCTTGGCAACTGAAGCATTATTATTATTTTTTGTTCACCTCTCTTGTCTGGAATGGATCTGTCCTGTCTTGTTTATTGGTTTCTTCCTAGGTCTAGGACAGCGTTAGTCCCATCATTGTAGTTCAAGTGTCACTCAGTGATGGGTGAGTTACTGAAACAGTCTAAGTATGAAGTGGACTCCACACAGCCTCACTCACCGAAAGAGGTCATGACAGGGGCTAGGGAGCAGCTGGGTGAGTAAAGTGCATGCTATACACGTATGAAGACCACTTACATGTGGGAACATGACCTTTGCCTATGATACTGGGAGCTGAAATAGCAAGTTACTGTTCTGGTGAGTGTGATGGCTAATCTTGCTAGTCAACTTGACTACATCTGGAATCGACTAAAACCCAAACAACTGGGTACAGCCCTGGGACTTGATTGGATCATCTGAGGCCAGAAGGCCCACCCTAAATGCACACACACCCCTCCATTTAGGTGGAGCTTAAAAAAAAAAGACATGAAAGAAAGAAGTCTTTTGCCTTTTGCCTGTTTGCCCTCACTCTCGCTGGCAAGGTCATCTACCCTGCTGCTGAGCATTCCTTCGCTGGTGTTAGGACCTACTTCTCCATATACACAGACCACCTGAGATATCCAGCATCATAGACTGAACAACTACTAGATTCTTGACCTTTCCGTTGGGAGACAGTGATTGTTGGATGGACCAGAACACAGCTGTGTTAGTCAGGGTTCTCTAGAGCAACACAACTTATAGAAAGAATCTCTTCATATATAGACAGGATATTTATTAGAATGATATGCAGGCTGTCCAACAGTGGTTGCCTATGAACCAAAGGTCCAAGAATTTAGTAGTCATTCAGTTAATGAGGCTGGATAAAGTATGCTCTAATGCTATTGGAGGAATGGACTTACTAGTGTGAGCAAGAGCAAGCAGGCAAAGAGCAAAAACCTCTTTCTTCCACATCCCTATATAGGCTTTCAACAGGAAGCATGACTCAGATTAGAATTGGAGGATTCCTCATTCAAAACATCTGGATTAAAGGCATGTCTTCATACCTCAACATCTGAATTAAAATTGGATCTTTCCACTTCAAAGTAAGCAGAAATCCCTCATAGGTGTGCCCCTTCACTTCTGGGTTTTGGATAGTTCCAGATGTCAAGTTGACAACCAAAAATAGCCACCACAACAGTCTATAAACCTCTGTAATGAATTTCCCTTTGACACACACACACACACACACACACATACACACACACACACTTCCTTCTATCTCTTCTGTTCCTCTAACTAATACAGTGAGAGAACCAGTCTCAAAAAGCAAAGCAGACGGTAACATTGGAAGTCATCCCGTTGTCAACCTCTGGCCTCCATACGCACACATCTGGGTAAGCACATATGCAAATAACACACACACAAACACACATTCATGCACACACTCACACTCATGCACACACACACACAAGCTCACAGACACACTCTCTCTCACACACTTTCTTACAAACTCTCACAATACACACACATTACCACTCACCTATACTCTCACGTAACACTCACATTCTTTCATACATACACACACTCACACACACTCACATGCCCCCCCCCACGCACCCATACCACCACACACACTCCACACTCACCCCCAAAGCACCCATACCAACATACACATACAGACACACACATGCACCATCACACACTCACCCCCTTACACCCCATGTGTCATTTGCAACTTTGAATTCCACTGTTTTTGGAATGTATCCTCTCCAACCCACATCTGTCTAAGAAGACAGGCATTTGTCTTCCGCTCCCTTTCTTTCTAGTATAGTCTGGCTTGGGCTCAGCTCCCTTTCTGCCGGGAGAGACTGCAGGTTGCAAAGGCCCAAATGGCTATCAGCTGGAGCAGCCAACCTGAAGTCAAACTCCCTGGTGGGGTGGAGGGAGAGAGTTTTACATGCTCATTCCATTTTCCCTCATCTGCCTGGACTCCTGCTGATAGGTGTTGCAAGCTGCCCAGGAGCCTAGGGACTGAGCTTTCTCTTGGACTCTGAAGCCCAGCTCTGGCGGACCCAGTGCAATGTCCAGACAACTGCACACGAGCAGGAGGTAAGAGAGTGGTCCCAGGGAAGAGGAGGGCCAAGGGTCAGGTGTTTTCTGGTCCTTCTCTGTACTTTTTCACTGGGTGGCTCCACACTCCCTAACCTCTTTCTCTTCATCCACAAAATGGGGATAAATATCTTCTTCTTTCCAACAGCCAGTTGCGGGAATCCAGGATCCGAGAGAGAGACAGAGACAGAGAGACAGAGACAGAGACATAGAGAGGAGAGAGAGAGAGAGAGAGAGAGAGAGAGAGAGAGAGAGAGAGAGAAAGAGCGCTTTGGAAAAAGATACTCCAAACCCTGTAATCAACTGGTCTCCATTCCTCCCAAAGCCACGATAGCAGAGACCTGGGATGCTGACTCTGAGGTCCTGTTCAATTTTCAAATGTCCTCAGAGGAGTTGCACAATGGGGAGACCAGAGGGAGGGAAGAGAGAACCAGTTACCTCAGAGTGGCTTTAGGGTAATGGTATCTGAAAGGTGCGTTTCCAATGACAACAGAGGCCGGCTGAGAGTCCAGTCCTTATTCTGAGGCACTTCACCTCGGTGGGTCTGGGCAGGTCACTTGGCCTTTCTGACCCTTCTTATTGTGTGTGCACAGGAGTACTGTGGTTCCTATTTCATGATGTTGTCCTGAGGTTGAAGTGAGAGGTAGGTGATGAAGTGAGGCTCGATCCTCTCCAGTGGTGAGGTGTTGATGTTATCAGTAAGGGTGGCCAGTAACTTCTCTTTCTATTGGTGAGACTCAGACAGCCAGTTCAACCTCTTTCCCTAGCGCGGAGGGGCCAACCTTGCCCTTCCTTTCATTCCTATGCTGCCATCTGCTGGTGAGAATCAGAATTTCAGCCCCTGAAGAGAACACGGTGATGCACAGGGCCTAAGCTTCACTCTAGAGGCATGCAGCAGGCCTTGGCAGGGAGCCAGGGAGCATGTGCAAACCTCAAATCCAGAGGCCGCCATTAGTGTGAAGAGATACTTGACGCTTGTCTACAGCAATGAGCAAGTCAGCCTCAAGTCTCATTTATTTTACCTTCTGCTAGACCCCATCCCACATTAGCCTGTCATCTTCTGTTCCTTGATGACGCCGAAACTTATTCTTGGCCTCTCTACATAACACTGAGGAATCAAAAGATAAAACAGTAGCCATTCCATGTCCAGTTTAAACATACACATCACCGCTGTCCCAGATCCAAGCTCTCTGCCTGGCACAGAAAACTGTTTGGTGCTCAGCCCACCCATTCAGTCTCTTTCCCGCGCCCAGCCCTCCAGCCTTGTTTACAGTCTGCCCATCCAGCCACACACCTCTGTCCCATCTGCTGTCTGATGGAGAGGCTCCCGTAGAAGCTACCTTCTTTCAATGCTTTCCCCGCCCCAAGAATGGAGAAGGTGTCTCGGGTCCTTCTCATTCATAACCCTGGAGCAGTCACATTGCCTTCTGATGTGTACGTGACCCTGCTCCATGGGTCCTGCTTCAAGAAGCCCAGCGGATGGTTAACGACTGAGGAGTGAGGAAACTGAGTCAGGGGGATGTGGACCCAATACTCCGCAGTCACATTCTTAGACTCAAGTTCTTTCGGCCTCCATCCTGAGCTGAACCGGTCATCCTTGCCATGGCTGCCACACCCTGAAAACATGGCTGACTCTCACAGTGTTGGTCATATTTGTGACCCTCACCCCTGCCAGGCTGTGTGGCCGCCTCCGGTGTCAGTCTCCTTGGGGGCTTCAGAGAGTCAGGTGCTGGACACGCGAGTTCATTTTCTACACTGCATCTGAGGATATGTCAGTGGGGCATTGTACCTTGACAAGGAGGGGGAGATCAGTGGGTCTTGAACGTGCCATCTGCCTGGCCCTTCCAGCATGGGACAGCATGTGTCCTGTTCCATAGCAGAAGCCATGTGGCAGCCTCAGGCGAGGCTCCTGGCCTACAGCTCCTCACTCTTGGAGAACGGACCCGGACACTACAGCTAGCTGGTCACAGAATGGCGCTCTCGTCTCGTAGCCCAGGTGCAGACGGAGTCTCATCTAGCTAGGCGCACTCAGGGACCTCAGTCCCTGTCAAAGTCTCCTGTAGATGATTTATTAGGGCCTGGCATCTAGGGAACCCTGCTAAGGGAGAGGAAGGACAGGATACTTCAGGCTAAGTGCCAGCTTCTGATGAAGCTCATGGGCTCAGGTTAAGACAATGAGCCAGCTTTCTGTCTCCACTGTCAGTGACCAGCTGATGGCCCTTAGGGGTGAGGGAAACCCAGGCGTCTAGGAAGGCATTTCTCTAAAGAACAGGTCAAGCTGACCTTTTGTGACGATGCTTCTTGACAATTTAGCAGGTTCTAGACTCATCTAGGAGACAGCCCTCTGGAATGTCTGTGAGGAACATCCTGAGCTAACTGAAATAGGGAGACCCACCCTCAAAATGGACAGCACTGTTCCTTGAGACAGGGGGTCCCAGATTGAATAAAACTGAGCAAGCAAGCTGAGCACAAGCGTTTATCGGTCTCTTCCAGACTGCTGTTGTCATGTGACCAGCTGCTTCATGCTCCTGCCACTATGACAGACTGTGAGTATCAATTTCCTGCTGTTTCCAGAATATACTTTGTCACAGCGATGAGAAAAATAGTATACCATAAGAAGCCATCATAGGGCTGGGGACCTGGGTGCGGTATTGCGGTTCCCCCTCCTCTGCTGCGTCTTCAAGCACTTTCATCTGTGGGAGGCTCCTTCCTCGGTTCTGAGCTGGTCACAGGCTCTCAGCCTTGTCTACACACCCAGGTGGCCACCTAGGTCTCTTCTTAAAATAGCGACCACCACCAAGAGCTGTCTGCCTAGTCCTCCTGTCTCTGGCCGGGAACTCACTTTGGAAGTCTTTATTGGCTTCTTTTAAATCCTCTAAGGTATCTCAGCTCATTGTAAGTAAACATTTTCAGGAATCCAAAGGTGTTTGTGAAAACTGTCTGCCAATGTGAATTCCCACGGTGGGCTTCTGAAGCATTGTGTTCATGTGGACACAGGTGTTTCTACAAAGCCCTCTTTGTTCCTGAAGACATTCTGGGTGAGTCCGAATCAGAGGGGCTAATGGGCTGGCTGAGTGGGCATCTTCTAGTTTCCTGAGCTCAGCTTGTCCAAAGCCTGTGTATCATAACAAATAAAATCCCCTGGTCCAGAGTCCCCAAACTCTATCTTCTCTCCACCAGGCCCTTGACATACCTGAAAGCCCTCCCTGTGCTTGGGGCTTAGAAACTTACCATTTGAGACTACTGGGGATTTTCCCCTAGTAAAGCTTAACATCAGTACACACTCCTATGAGCCCCTACTAGGATTTGGTCTAGAGCCTGAGATTGGACTCTTCTCCGAGACCCTGGCATCTGCTACGATTCTTTTTCCTCTCATTGCACCTACTGGTCTACCGGCACCTGGCGTTGGCATCTTTTGGCCGGTGACTCACTGTGAAGACATCGATAGCCTTTCATCCCTACGTGGGGTGGATAAGTCCGTCCCCCCCCCCCCCCCAGGAAGGATGACACCAACAGCCTTGCCTTGCCAAATAGTTGGCTGCTCTTGGTATATAAACAGCCTTCTTCTCCAGAGCGGAAGGACTGCCATTCCTCAGGTGTGTGTGTGTCAGACAGAGTCCCTGTTGTGGAAGAATTGTTTGTATAGACATTCTACTGTGCTCATAAAGCCTCCTTGAAACAAAGGACGGAGTCAATGATTGGGTAACCGGGATTAGCCATAGAGTTCTTGGAAGACTGAGGAGGTCTGCTAGAGAGGTCAGGAAGAGAGAAGAAGGATTTCTGGAGCTGATGGTTTGGGAAAAACATGGAGAGAGGGTCAGCCAATCAACTGTTTGCTGTCCTTGGATTTATCAAGTCTTTATCTCAATTTCTAACTCTCGAGTTTTTATTAAACTGGAACAATTTAGGTAAGTCGTTACAAGTCCCAAAGTTTCCGGTGGGATCTCACTCTAGTCTCCAGTAGCTGGGCTGGCAACACTGGGGGGACACGAGCCCACTTGAGCATGTGGCTCCGGTTGGCCTTGCCCTTCTCCCCCCTTCCCTCTGCCTTGCTGAACACGGTTGGGTTACACTCGCAAAGCTAACCACCAAGGTCTAGTCCCTTACTTGTCTACTTTCTCCTCCTGAGGCTGACTACCAAAGTCCACCAATCAAAAGTCCCCTTCGGCTCACCTAATTAACATGCTCATCCTAACACGGGGTTTCCCCATTTACCTTTATAAACTTCCATTTGCCTACGAGCCAACTTAGTCTCCCCTCTCTGCAGAGGCAGTCCTTCGTCTCTCCAGGACAAAGACCTCTGCTCCCTCTCCCTTGTTCCTTCCCCCTTTCCCTCATCCCCTATCTCCATTACCACCACATTCTAGCCCATCCCAACACAGGGGGATTTTTTCCTTTTCTCCTCTTAAAAATTACACCTGCAAGGTCATTTGCTGCTGTTTTCTGCCTGAGTCAGAAAGCAGCCACGCTGACTTTTCTCGCCGCTTAATAAAGGATCTCTCTGTGAAAATAGGTGTTTGGGTGTGATTTGTGCCTAATCCAGGGTGTGGGAGGGAGTCCCTGCTTTTCAGATGGTCCCCATAAAACACCCGTTATTGACTGTCTCTTTCCCCAGACACAATACCTGCCCTCAAATGCTTGTTTCCCAGTCTACCTCCGGGGAATCCAGAGCCAGGCAGATGTTAGACACCTGTTCAGTGCTGCAGACCCTTTCTCTGCCTTAGATCCACTCCCTTCCTCTTTTTCTCCAGCTCTGGGTTACCTGTGACTTGTCTTAAAAGAGTATGTCAAGAATGATGTCCCCTAGGCTTCCCTGCTCCTGTCCATCTTGAGAACCCAGGCTCCATCCTGGCTGCCAGATGAGCTTCCCCTACCTGTCCAGACCCAGAACACATGCTACCTGAGACTAGACCAGTACAATCCCAGGGAGAACCACAGCAAATCGGAGAGGTTGCAAGGTTCAAAACCAGCAAAAATTAGAATTTAATCCTGCTTAAGTGTAGGCAGCCAGTCCTTCTGGAGACAACCAGGGGCAGCCTTGGAAGGTCTCACTTGTGTCCACCACAGCTGGTTCTGCAGGCCCCGTGCGGCTGCCCATCCCCAGGCTGGTCACTGTGGGGCATGGGAAGCTGTTGTTTCCTCAGAGAAGTGAGTCACATTGTGTGTGGGATGGTCAGCGCATCTCATATGGCTTCTCCCTTCTTCCTCCTAGTCAGCGTCCATCAGCACAGATCCAGCAAACCTGAGCTCTCAAGTCAGTTGGGTATGTCTTTCCGGCCATGGTCACTCTAAAACACCTTCCGTGGCACACAGCCCTCCAGCTCTAGTAACTCCGGCCAGCCTTCATATTTGTTTGTTTCTGGGTTGTTTTTTAAGAACTGGGGAGAGAAGAGAGGTGTTTCAGACAGTGGGCAAGGCTGTCTAGGACTTGTGCAACGGCATTTACACTGACCCTCAGCACTTGGAGGGCTCTCTGACCTTTGCCACAGCCTCATTTTCCAGATGGGGCAAGAAGCTCAGAGAAGAACCACAACTTGCTTGAGATCCCAGAAACGGGATTGGAGCCTACTATGCCAGACAGGGGCACCAAAGACGGGGAGAGCTTGGAGAGCGCTCACCCTTCTCCCTTAAAGCCCCAAATCACAATGATAAAAGCATGGAAAGGAAGAATCCTAAGAATTATTGATCATCTGTGGCATGCCTGGTGCTATCCCAAGCTGCCTTATGTATTTAATCAGCACAGCAGCCCTGGGAAGCACATACTGTTATGGTTCCACCCTACTGCATGGGAAACTGAGGCACGGAGAGGAATTGTTTCTGTGTGTGTGTCTCTCCCAGTTGGGGAACTCTTCATGTGATTTCTTTAATGTGTTACCAGTATGGGAACATAGGATATCTTCGGGTCCTTGCTGTATGGCCATCTGCCTTTGATGAATCCGGACCCTTCCCAACAAGGAGGAAGAAAGAATATCTGCCTGGCTAGTGCAGCGTAGCTCTGCCCGGTGTCCTGACTTCCCTGTGTGTGCTAGAGCCCAGTCTGGGGCCTGCATTCCCACCCAGAGGCCACGGATATTCTCTTTCTCCTCCTCCAGTAGGCTGTCTTGAAGTAGGCCTGATGTCTAAATGTGGGTGATGGTTAATCTGATTGCCCATTAGCTGGACTGAGAAGTGGCTAGGAGGTTCATAAAATATTCCTCTGGATATATCGGGGTGAGTGTCTCCAGGGAGGATTAATGTAAGTTGGGGGCCTGACTAAAGGGAAAAAGGAGCAAGTCACTAGCTCAGGCACTTGCTCTCTGCTCCCTGGCCTCCGTGGGATGGTCCTCCCTTCTGCTTCTGGGTGTAGTTTCTGCCCAACAATGTAGCCTATGGCACTGACTGTCCTTTCAGCCGCTGCAGCACCTTGTCCACCCGGCCCTTTCTCAGACAGGGAGGCAGCTAGGAACCCACCTGCTCATATGGGCTTTTATTCTTGAGGTCTTTGGCACCTAAGAAGACCCAGCTGTCCCGGAAGCCCAGCTGATTTGCGTAGGAACTCCCCAGGTTGGAGAAGAGCGTCCTGATTTTGTCATTCATTCTGCAGAGGACCAGAGAGAACATTTGCGGTGAGGCTGAAGGACATTGATGGGGGTGGGAACAGAGTGAGGCTCTCAGTGGGGGAGCCCACTGTCTACCTGGACACATAACACCTACTTTTCGAGTCTCTCAAAGTTAACTGGATTGGGCTGGGGGCTGAGACTTTCTAAGAGAGCTTTGGGTGGGGCTGGACAGCGGTTTGAACAGTACTACCCTGTCTGCAGGTACTGCACATGTTCATGTGGGAAAAATGGGACGTCGTGAAGAGTTAAGTGAAAGGTGGGGCTTACCCCTCCCCCTTGTGGAAATCATAAACATTTTAACATGGCCACAGGTTGTTTAACAATGGGATCCGTTCTAAGATTTGTGCGGCTATGTTTTCACACAGATGTGCTATTAGGTGATCCAATGTGTGAACACCAGGGGTGTGTTTACACAGATGTGCTCTTGGGGGATCCAGTGTGTGAATACCAGGTGTGTGTTCACACAAGCCAAGCTGGCTATGGCATTCACTAAATGATTTGTGCAGTTAGTCATAACAAGCTGTGTAGCACAAGTGGATGTTTTCTTTTTCTCATATGTTTGTACATGCATGTACATGTATGATTGATGTGTGTGGGCAGATGTGTGTATGTGATAGACATGCGTATGTCGAGAGTCGTTCTCATCCCTCTTCTGATTTATCCTTTTGAGTCAGGGTTTCTCAGTCAAACACAGAGCTCACTGATATGACTAGCTTGGCTCGCCTACTTGCTCTGACAATCCTTTGTTTTGGCTTTCAGAGGCCAGAATTACAGGCTGGCTACTATCTATAGATATGAATAGATATCTATAGATATGCCTACCCATCCCTGATGTTGGTTCTGGGAATTTGAACTCAGCCTTACTCAGCAAGCTCTTTACCCAGCGAGCCACCTCACCAGTCTAAGGAGCTCATGTATTTATTTTACTCCTTCTGCCCTAGAGGCTGTGTGTCATGGTTTGAATAAGAATGTCTCTGGTAGACTCATGTACTTGAAAGCCTGGATTATGCGGATTAGGAAGTCTGGCCTTGTTGGAGAAAGTGGGTCACTGGGGATGGGCTGTGAGGTTTCAAAAGCCCATGCCAGGCTCAGGCTCATTCTCTCTCCCTCCTCTCTCCCTGGAGATTAGGATGCAGCTCTCGGCTACTTCTGCAGTACCCTGCCTGCCTGTCTGCTGCCATGCTTCCTGCCATGATGATGATAATGGACGAAATCTCTGAAACTGCAAGCCAGCCCCAATCAGATGTTTTCTATTATAAAAGTGGCTTTGGTCACGGCGTCTCTTCACAGCAATAGGACACTAAGATAGCAAGTACCCTTGCAAGTCCTTAATATTTTTCCCACCATCATTTGCAATGCAGCGCATCTTCTTATATGCACATATAATATATAACACGATGCTATAATTTCTGCAACCAGACAGTGCTACTGGATGGGGAAGACTTTGCCATCATTGTAATGAAGGTCACAGCATACACCTGGACTTCATTTCCCAGACTTCTCTGATTCTTTCCTCGGGCTAAATTAGCTGGAGGGCGGGGCTTTCAGGAGAGGGAGAAAGTGTGTGCAGGTGTAAAGTATTTGGTTTGCATCGCCGCATGGGCCTAACAAGTGATGTTTCCCACTTACTTGGTGCCTGGGTCATCATAGGAGGCCACTAGCACCAGCGTGCTATCTGGAATTTTTTCAAGGAACTCTATCAGGAATTTGGGTTCTGGGAAAAGAAGAAAAGAAAAGTACTGGTCTTTAGGAGAAATGCAGCTGGATCCTTTTTCTCTTCTACCCTAACAACTCAGGGCGGTTCTGGGCCAGGCTGATGGGGAGCTTGGAAGTCAGATGGGGGCCAGCATTGGGGGGGGGGGTTTGGAGCTTCCTGCAGCTTTATCTGAGGGCAGGAAAATATGAGGACATCAGGGACTTCATTTGTGTGACCTGGAGTGGTGGCAGTAGCATTGTCAAGTCCCCTGGGCGTGGGACTAGGATGCATAGCTCCGTTGCCTGGCATGTCTGGCAAACTGAGTTTGGCCCCCCAGCACCATATAGACCTAGTGTGATGGTACACACCTGTGGTCCCTGCACTTGGGGGGAAGAGGCAGGAGGATCAGAACTTCGTAGATCTCTACTATCCAAGGCCTCACAGCATCTTCTAAATTACCACAGTCTAGGCTGTTGCTCATCCTTGGTTACATAATGAGTTTGAAGTCAGCCTGGGCTACATGAAACTCTGTTTCAAAACAGCTCTCTGTGGTCTGAGACAAGCATGGCCCATGGCCCTGCTTATGGCATCACTGTGAAATTTACACGTGACAATCTGGGACATACAATACAGGCCCTTAAATGGAGCTATAAATTGTTAGCAGAACTGGCTACATAATTTGTGCGGTACCGTGCCAAATAAAAATGCAGGGCTACTGATTCAAAAATGGTTAAGAATTTAAAGACTGCGCCTACAGAGCATCAAGCCACCAGCCAAGCTGTTCCTGGGACTCAGATCCCTGGATTCCAGCCCGTGGTGAGCTGCTCTGCCTGTTGTGTTAAAGCAAGGGGACAGTGATGTCCTCAGAGCCAGCCACAAGCAGAGGTTTCAAAAAAAAACAAACCAAAACATGTCTATGCAGAACATCTTCTACAGAGAGATGGAGAAGAGGGGCACCTCTCAGAGGCCCTATCTGGACCTTAGGAGGTTGTGCCCTCTTCGTGGGTCTACCAGAGAGCTCTGCAGCCTCAACTTTTCTCAGGTGCTCTCCCTAGCAGGGCTTGAGTAGGTGCTAGGGCCATATGCCCTCATCCTCAGCACAACACTGGGGGCACACTTGTCTGGTACCAATGACAACAATGACTTTTTTTTTTTTTAAACCAAGAACTCTGCATGGCTTCAAGAGTCCACTTGTCAGAATTGCCAGGAAGCGAGGAGAAACCAGTACTTCAAGTACACCCCCCTTGGGTTATGTCCAAGATGGTGGTGCAACAGCTCTCTAATTCCCCAGCTTGGCTTCACATTTCTCCGGTCTTACTCCTTGACCCACCGTGAGCATTTCTTGAAACCAGATTCTACATAAGCCATCATACTTCAACTCTCTTCCAAGGATCTGTGCCTGAGTCTAACTCAGACCCCAGGAAGGTGTCTAAAACAGAACAACCCCCACCCCCCAACCTTCCCATCCTAGTGTCCACACGTTCCCTTCCAGAGCAAAGGTTACCCCCATGACATCAGTGCCAACAGAGGTGCCTACCTCCAGAGTACATGTCAAAGCTGCCCTTTTTCGTCACCTGTCCCGTGGATCCTAGGGAAAAGAGAGAGAGAGTACTTCCTATAACGTGAGTCACCCTGCCTGTCACTTCGCTGAATCTGGCCCACGGGTAGTGTAAACCCTAAAACCAGAATGAGAGCTGAATGTAACTAGGTCTTGGGAAGGTCATCAGGGGCACAGTGGGGGCCTCATACTGTCTGGGCTGGGCTTTATTTGAGAGGTAGATCGCACAAGCTGAACATCCAGTGCACAACAGAACATAACCACCCAGAATCTGTGTTCCGCCGTGACAGCTGCTCACACATGATTCAGCATTTTGTCCTTAATTTCTGCACAAATTCAATGGGCTGTTGGTTTGAAACGGAACAAATACATCGACAAGAGAAAGTGTACTAGATATATTTTCTGAGAAACTGTCCTAAGGACATGGTTATAACTGCTCCCACACAAGTGGGAGATCTGCAAGCCAAATTCTCCTTTTGGAGGCATTAAATTTCCCATGATAAAAAGGTCCTCAGATTTCCAGGGTCTGAATTGCTTTTGTCGTTTTTGGGGGCAAAAACGGTGATCTGAAGGAAAGACGCAGCTCTCAGCCTTCACCACTAGATGGTAGCATTGCAGAGGGCATGGCAGGGCTAGGGGCCCGTCTCCCTGTAGACGGGAGCAGGCTCACCTGGCAAGCCCTCTCAGTCTCAGAGCCATCTGGAGTAACCCGGGGGCTTTGGAAGGGGTTGTGCGTCTCTGAGAGCGTGCTCATTTGTGGGTTTTTCTAGTATCAGGGTAGAGGGGAGCAGCATAGCGTGAACTGTTTCTCAGAGGGAGCTCTGAGCAGTAAGAGGTTAGGTGCCAGCCATTAGTATCCGCGAGGAACCTGAGGTCCCGTCTATACACAGACCGAGAGACCCTGCAGTGCAGGGAAGAGTTGCTGGAGTCGGCCAGATCTGGGTTCAAGCTGTACGAAGGACATGCTCAACACATTACTTTTTATTGTCAGGGATGATTATTTTTTTATCCTGTTGGCTTTGTGAGAGGCCAGATAGGAAGTCCCAGCCTGGGTCCTTCCTTCCCTCTTCTCTACCCTGCTGCCCGGAAGGGGTGTTTCCTTTTCTCCTTGCTGGTTTTTTTAGCTGTAACTGACCATCGCCCACTCTGGAACCTTCTGTGATGACACCTGCGACCACTCACCGTTCACCAGCGCAATGTTCAGGCCTCTGCCCACGTTGTTTCTCACTGGACTCATGATGCTGCAGACAAAGAAGGGAAATAAAATAGGCCAGCGTTCCCAGGAGCAGAAGGAATTTGTTCTGCTTTTGTGAAGGGGACCTTGGGAGGCTTACTCCTGGGGCCCAAGGTCACTAGTGTTGTGAGATATTTGATTATACTGTGTAAAGATGAGTCACTGTGATTGGCTTAATAAAAAGTTCAACAGTCAATAGTTAGGCAGGACTTTTGGGGCAGAGAAAATGCTGGGAAGAAGAAGGGTGGAGCCTCCAGGAGATTCCATGGACACGGAGCAGGTAGCATGAACTTTACTGTGTACAGGTTACCGAGCCACGTAAAATAACATAGATGAAAAGAAACGGGTTAATTTAGGTTATGAGAGCTAGTTAGAAACAAGCCTAAGCTTTCATATTTGATGAGAAGTCTCTGTGTTGTGATTTGGGAATTGGCTGGCGGGGCAGAGCATGACTCCCTGCACACTAGGAAACACAGCTTGGGCTGTAGGATTTATCCTGGAAGCCTGTGGTGTGGGCTGTGTTCTTCGTGGTGAAGCCCTTTGGTCCATGACACATTTGGACCAGTCTGCACAGAAAAGAGGCTGAGCCCCTACCTGGGACTTTGAGATGCTAGGGTAGGGTATTCCCCCACCCCAGGATGTAAGAAGCAGAAACTGGAGAAGTTTATTCGTCCTAGAGTGGCTGGTTCCCCTGTGGAGCCCAGCGGGGTTCCCACCAGCTCAGGGTCTGTTCTCTCCCTCCTGAGGAGGGCAGTACTTTTCCACTCCCAAGGGAATGAGGAGACCCAGTCTGGGGATGCTCTGCTCTGGTTCTCGTGAGGTGCTAGGGTGGTGCTAATTTGTCAGAATGTGTGGCGGCCTCTCTCATCCACAGAGAAGTCCCATTTTCAGTGGAAGAAAAAAGCAGCCAGCAGGAGAAAATAGAGCCAAGGACGGCGTGAGAGCAAGCTTGATGTGCAGTCTGAGCTGCTGGATCCCGCACATCCTGAAGCTCAGAACTCTGGCTTCAACTACACAGACCAGTACTGATTGTGTAGATTCAGCATCGTGTTGGAAAGACCCATTTGTTCTCCACAGCAGGATAAACTTAACTGTTGAGCTTGGGAATGGGTACATAGATATCACCCACAGGGCATCCCTTACCCCGGAAGCCCAGCAACTTGTCTGTTGGACAGACATGCCTTCCGCTTGGCAGTTGTCCCTGTCTGAGCCTCACTTTTTTTTTTCCCAGCAGGGACAACAGCAGCTCAACCCCTTGTGCAGGGAAGGGATGGGGGCAGCTTAGCAAGGGGTGGCTGAGCTGGGAGCTCTTTGGCTGATGGTTATTTGTTTGAGCACCTCGAATCAAAGGTAACCTGGGAAAGGCATGGGCGGTTCCTTAAAGGCCTGCTCTGATGTCTGACTTTTCAAATGGATGAGAGAGAGAGGGAGGGAGGGAGGGAGGGAGGGAGAGAGAGAGAGAGAGAGAGAGAGAGAGAGAGAGAGAGAGAGAGAGACAAAGCAGCACAGCCACCCTGGGTACTCACATTTCATTTTCAAAGCACATGGAGGGGCCCACGACGTTGGCAGCCCCAGTGCTGAGTTTAAATGCGAAGAAGTTGTCTAGGCAGGGCTTGCTGAGCCCACACTTGGTGTTCGGGACCCCTGGGAAGGTAACACAGAATTCTCACATCTGGGGAGGAGACTGGGCCTTGGGGGTTTTGTTCTTTTCTGGACACTGTGGGGCCTCCATCAATAGTGTCAAAATATACAGGACTCTGTCTGAAGTTCTGGCCACTCCAGGATTAATCTGAGAGCCTCCTAAGCGAGGTTGCTTCTGCAGAGCTTTTGAGAGCCTGGCACGTGCCGTTCTGAATCACCCCAGCAGATTCTGTGCCTGGGCTTTGGCCCTTCTTCACAGGCTGAACATGGAGCCTCTTGGTTTGGAAGGATGATCCAGACAGAAAGACAGCAAGCTGTGAGTCTCCCTGGCCCTCACTGGCGGGGAAGAGTCCTAGGCCCCAGGGACCGCAGATGGAGTTCTCAGGGCTTGTTTGCTCAACTGTAGCTAAGTCCAACAAGTTCCATGTCAAGAGCACAGCTTAGGCAGGCTTTTCTGGGAATGATTTCCTGTCCATCAGCCTCCACCACCAGGCTGCTGCGTGAAGACAAGTGCTGTCCTTGGGGGAGATCTCAGGGGAGCCAAGATCTGCTTTCTGGGATCTGATGGAAGGGGCTGTCTCAATAACTGTTCTGAACCCTGGTGCCATTGCTCTGGGCCTGAAGTTGGTGTACTGTCTTGAGCACTGTGTGTGTGTGTGTGTGTGTGTGCGCGTGCGCGCACGCGTGCGCACGTGCACATGCATGTATGTACATTGGGGTGATATGAATTTTCTTCTGCCAATCTGCTTTGTGGTTTTGCTAGGAGCTTCTCCAATTATCTTTCCTGATTTATCAAGTCAGGAAGTTGGTTCCAATCTGAGCTAACTAGTAAGTTCTCTCTCTCTCTCTCTCTCTCTCTCTCAAAGATTTATTTGTTTATTATGTATACAAGTTCTACAGTGGCCTACATGCCAGAAGAGGGCACCAGATCTCACATGGTGGTTGTGAGCAACCATGTGGTTGCTGGGAAGTGAACTCAGGACCTCTGGAAGAGCAGCCAGTTCTCTTAACCTCTGAGTCATCTTTCCAGCCTCCATCAGGCCTTCTCTCTCTCTTTTTTTAAAAATATTTATTTATTTATTATGTATATAATATTCTACATGTATGCCTGCAGGCCAGAAGAGGGCACCAGACCTCATTACAGATGGTTGTGAACCACCATGTGGTAGCTGGGAATTGAACTCAGGACCTTTGGAAGAGCAGGCAATGCTCTTAACCGCTGAGCCATCTCTCCAGCCCAATCATCAGGCCTTCTCTTAAATGACAGTTTGAACTTACTGTGAAAGGCTTAAGGATAAAACTCTTGAGGATAGCTATGGGCTTGGCGAATGAGGATGTGGGGATTGACTAGTGATGTCTGCCATGGGATCAGAAAGGGCAGAATGTAGCACACATGCTTGAGTTTTCTATTTATTCCAGCAGATGATATCTTCAAGATGTCATAACTCTGTGAGTCTGGTTTAGAATTGGACTGAGGAGGCTTCAGATGGCTAAGATCAAGGATAAAATGGTTTATTCTGTAGTTGGCTCTCGGCAATGCTGTGTGCATTGGGTTTCCGTGTCATCTTAGCCAATAAAACCCTAACCCTGAAGCTCAGCTCTCTTTGGAGTTACCATGTTGGGTTATGGGGTTTTGCAGGGAGGTCTTATGAAAAAAAGCTGTTGGGGAGATGATCTATGGGCTGGCAGGGTGGGGGTGTTTGACTCCCCTACTTATCACTACAACTTTTTGGCCTTAGCCAGGAGATTTCACTTCTCTGAGCCTGTTCTCCTACCTAATGGAACCTACATGGGAGTATGTTAGCTTTAGATGAGATGCCTATGAGGACAGAATGCATCATCTGGCTCAATCTTAGGATCAGTAGCAGCCATGCTCCCCCTTCTACCTTCTTTGTTCCTTGGAAACCCGCATCCTTGCTGAAGACGTCTTTCAATTTTGGCTCACAATGAGGTTTTAGAGAGGAAGCAGGGTGCCCTGCAGAGTGCCCTGTGGTCTAGACGACCCAGAAGGAATTGCAGAAGGGAAAGAGCTAAGTCATGTTCCTGCTGGTCTGAGTAGCTGAGAGAGGCCACTGTCACAGAGGAGTGGGTTAGGAAGACAGACTCTGGATACCTGCATTTCTCTGGGGCCTGCAGCACTGGAAATAGAGGCCTTGGGACCTCCTGCCTGAGGACTGATGGGGGTACTTACGGGGCTGGGTAGATACTCACGGATCTCCTTGGGGGGCACGCCTGCTTGAGAGAAAGAATCTGGTTAGTGAAAAGGTACTTGGGCCTCTTGCAGGAAGGAGAGGGGGGCTGATGGCTGGGTAGAGGGAACAGGAGACCTTTGTGTGCTTCTGCTAATATGAATTAGCCCTCCTGTTACATCTGGGAGCTTCCTCTAACCTGCTGCTGCCACCCTTTCATAAATGGACACACACTTGCATATACACTCATACATATATGAAAGGCACATACATGTACACAAATACATATTTAACACACATGCAGAAACATACATGTGCACAGACTTTGATGGAGGAAGGTCATTGGCTAATAAAGAAACTGCCTTGGCCCATTTGATAGGCCAGCCTTTAGGTGGGTAGAGTAAACAGAACAGAATGCTGGGAGGAAGAGGAAATGAGCTCAGACTTGATAGCTCTCCTCTCTGGGGCAGACGCGATGAAGCTCCGACCCAGGATGGACGTAGGCTAGAATCTTCTCGGAAAGCGCACCTCGGTACTACACACATTAATAGAAATGGGCCCGGCAGTGTTTAAATGAATACAGTTTGTGTGTTGTTATTTTGGAGCATAAGCTAGCCAGGCGGCTGGGAGCAGGGCGGCAGGAATGCAACCCGCAGCTCCTTCAACAAGACTTGTTTTTTGTTTCAAATCAAGCTGTGAGAACCTTGGAGATACTTAAATATCACACCCACCAAATATCACATAGCCACCATGTGTTTGGTGGCTATGATACTTAAGCATCATGTGGCTCAGTTTACTTGACAGCACACAGAAGGCATCACAGCCATCCTCACTGGGCTCTGGAGAGGATCCAGTGAGACCCTGGGGACTCAGCGAAGGAGAGAATTGTGCTGCTGCTGGTGCTGTGGTCCCTGGGTCATCTCTTTCTTGAATGCCCATCTGTGCTAGGCTGGAGGGGTCCTGGTCACTGCCTGACATCTTGTCTCATTCCATCCTAGCTGTTTCTGGGTTTCTAGGTCGGGTGTCCACCATCCTGCTGTGTGCCCTGGAGGACAGGTTCTTTCAGAGGACACAAACATGTCTGGGAAGGAGTGTGCCTTCTCTGGGCCCTACCACAGCAAATGACCAAGGCTGAACCAACCACAATACCATCGTCCTCTGGAGACAGCGCTCTTCTCTGAGTTAATATATTCCCATGGTCCTGGTGTGTGTGTGTGTGTGTGTGTGTGTGTGCGTGAAGTGCCCTTTTCATTTATAATGTGGGCATCTGGACAGCTGGTAGCTATCATATGCCTTAGAGAGAAGCTGACCATGGATGTAGCTTCTACCTTGTTGAAAAAGAACAACACCTAGGGGACTGGGATGTGGCTCAGCTGGTAGAGTGCTTGCCTAGCATGCACAAGGTTCAACTTCTAGCATCCTATAAGCCAGGCACAGTGGTGCCCACCATCACTGAGGAGGCAGAGGCAGGAGGATCAGAGGTTCACTGTCATTCTCTGTTTGAGGCCAGTCTGGGTTACACGGAACTGGTTTGAAAACAAAACAAAGCAAAACAGCAGCCACAACATCCAAGGGTACAGTCAGATGGGCCCTTGGGGCTTTGTGGTACCCCTGGAACCAGCCACCCCTGACTTTTCAATGAAGAGACTTAAGAGACACTGTTATACTGAAACTAGTTAGAGTTGATTCTGTATCTCCTGCCTAGTTTTCCAGGTAAGCTGGGAGTTTTTAACCTCTTCATCCCTGTGCTGGGCCTTTGTGGTCTGGCAAAGCTCATGATCTTCTCAGAGTAAGTCCGTCCTCACTCCCTTGAGATAATTAGTACTTTCTTCTTGAGCAGGGTGCACACTGAGTGCATAAAATAAACCAGATTGGATTATGCAGGAAACCAATTATTATCTTCCTGTATAATAATGATAAGCATAAATTTGTACAGTTATAGATAGGCTTTTATCAGCATATGAAATCATAAAATAGGGGTGTATCCCTTAGGGCAGGAGCCTGTGAAGTGAGGGAAAGTTGGCACATTAGTCCAGGCAGCTGATGGGTTTCTGTCTGTCTTTCCCACTGAGCACACACCTGCATTTCTGCGGACTCTGGGTTAGGGGAATACACTGCTGTTTTTTGGGAGCATTGTAACTAAGTCTGTTTCTCTGGCTTAGACCATAAGCAGGGGCTACCTGTTCCTTGTTTTGGGGTCCCTGTGACCTCACACAGAGCTTAAGCTCTGATGCTTGTGGGTTGGAGTTATTGGTTTCTCAACCCCCAGTAACTGAGCTTTGAGAGATAAATAGTTGTAGAGATTCAAAGATGTGAGCTTAGCCCACGTTGTCTGAAGGTCAGAGAGTCTGAGTTGATTTTGCTCGCTCAAAGTTGTTGACAAGTGTGGCTACACACCTGACCTAGGGCGTGATTGCTTGGTGTTTTAGACATTGGAATGGCTCATAGAGGTAGATCCACTCTATCCTGAGCAAAGGTCAAAGAATCCAAGCATACTTCTGCTCCTTCTTTTGAAATAGGAGGTTTGACCTAGGGACACTTGGTCTAGGGTGTTTTCACTGCCCCAAGCATCAAATACTTTTCTCAAGAATTAGTGATGTGATGTCTCAAGTATTGGGACTAGTAACTGTTCTGGTTGTCCTTTGCATCACGTTAAAGCAGTCTTTTGCCTTCTTCCCCCTTTTGTATTGGGGTATAAAAGTGTATGGAAAATGAAACACAGGTGAGCTCAGTATGCAGAAAGCACTGAGTGGTCCTCCCGATACTATCCTAAGTCTCTGTGTTTCTTATCTCTGTTCCTTCTAACTAACTTTCCTAATCCTCATGCCCCTACCCTGGAATATACGAACCAGCCATGGCTAGGATCGTGGCAGAAGTCACCCCAAAAAGGGGGCTCACGACAAATAGTTATTGGACGAAAGTCTCTACAAGAGTTGCCTGCTGTGTTCCAACTGTGGCTCTGACAAGGTGTGACAAGACATCTTGACCCTCCTGCAAATGGCCTGGTTCACATCTCCTTGATGTCAGCAGGCAGCAGAACCCAGGTTTGGTCAATAGCAGTGTCCCTGGATCAGGGACATGGCAGTCACCGAGTGTCTATATAAATGAAATTCCAATACAGGCTTTATGTCTCCGCTGACAAGAGGCAGATGGCATAAGGGCTATCAAGCCCTCCACTGTGGAGTTCTGATAAAGATGGGGTACCTGGTTTCTCACTGTCGTGGGAAGTTGGGGGCCGTTTTGGTCCTTGCGGATCATGTTGAACTCTGTCAATGGTAGCAGTTCTCAGTCTCTCAGGAAGATAAATCTAAGGACTCACACCCCTTCCCTTCTGTCTTGAAAGGATTTGAATATATACACCCAGGCTCCATCCCTGTCCTGACATCTCTAAGGGAGAACTTCGGTTAGTTTTAAAAGTCTCCTTGGCTTTCTATTTTCTCAGAACACACATGAAACCGTGCCGCCAATCAGGCTTGAGTCTGTTACAGAACCACACCAGGAACCACTCCCTAGGGGTATTGGTGCATCTTCAATGAGACTGAATAGGCAATCTTCAATGAGACTGAATAGGCAAAACAGTAAGAACTTGGCCATCTACTTGTTTATCCAATCGTCCATTCACCTACCCATTCACTGATCCTCACTGTCCTACCCACTAACTTATCCATCTGCTGGCCTTCTATCTAATCATCAATTCTTCTATCCATTTACTTACTTGCTGGTCCACCCACCTACCACCTGTCATCCTGTTCATTTGTTTGTTCACAGACTATCCATTTACCTACAAGTCCACCCCTATCATTCCATCTGCCCATTCATCTGTCCATCTGCCTCCATAATGCAGCCTTCCATTCATCCGTTCATAAATCTATCTATCCATTTATTCACCCACCTACAAATCTATCCATCCATCCATCCATCCATCCACCCATCCATATCCATCCATCCACCCACCCATCCATCCATATCCATCCATCCATCCATCCATCCATCCATCCATCCATCCATTTTTCTTTCACATATCAAATACTTATTGGACACAAAATCCTTGCCTTCAGGAAAGTTATATTCTAAGAGGCGGAGTCAGGCAATAACTAGGGAAACAGATAACATGATGATGGTGTTTGGAAAGAAACAGGCTGATAGAAGCTAAATGAGGAGGACAGGCTACAGCTGGAGCTGGGGAGGTCAGAACGGCCTTTGAGCAGGGAGCTGAAGGTGAGAAGGAGCCGGCGTGCAGGTCCTGTACAGAAAGGGTTTGCAGCAGAGGGAACTGCAGGTAGGAGCAGCCACTTGCAACTCAGACAGTATTTTTTTTCTTCACTCACAGCCCAGTATCATGTCATCCTCACTCACAACTCTCTTTATAAGTATTATTTCTCTCCTTCCTTAGACCAGGGCCTTGGAACACTTGTGTTCCCCATGGCTTCAGTCTTCCTTTCAGTTCAGGATTCTTACACTGTGCTCCACAATGCCAGTGCACAGCTCACCACATCTAGCTGGCTCCTGGGTCACCCCAGAAGAGAGGTCCTCATTGCCCCATCCCTGGTTCTGCATCATGGGCCATGAGCTCCACTTACCCAGCCAGCGTGGCAGACGGATGGTTTTCCTGTTGATGCTGACGTAGCTACGGAGAAAGACCCACATGGCAACCATGGTGAAGACGAAGGCCACAACGCGAACCAGACCTGCAAGTAGGAAGAGTCTGTCAGGTCACGTGCCACACCCCGACAGGGGGCTTCAGGGCAAAGCCATGTAGAAAGTCCGTGTGTGAGTTCTTGCCAAATTCCAGCAACACCACCACTGTGGGAAACCCTCTGTTGTAGGCCACATCCACACATTGAGACTATGTGCCAAGACCACATAAGAGTCCCTGATAGGATCAGACAGTGAGATCATGATTAGATTTTGTGAACACTTCTCAAGTAGCCATTGTGAATGAGTTGAAAAAGCTTTTCTTTGGGCTTCAATTAGATTCCGAGAGCGCCTACAGAGAGGTGTCCTGGGGTCTGTATGTGTGCGGGAGTTCACCCTCTTTGAGCTAAAGTCAGTCAGTCTCAAACAGTAAATATGGCTCTGCCCTGACTGCTGAGGTCCCTGGCCTCCACGGTCCCAGTTGCAATCCCTCTTCATTTAATCGCTCAACCATCCTTTTTCTTTCCAAGTACCCTCATCATACGACTTGGCTGTTACTTGACTCTATTTCCTGGAATGCGACTTTGTTGTAGGCAAGGGTTTTATTCTGTATATGGAACGCGTACTAATAAGGACGTGATAAGTGAAAGGGAAACAGGTGAATGGAGGGAATGGCGGGTGGGTGGATAGATGGTTAGATGATGACAGATTAGAAGACTGGATGAGTGGGCAAATGGATGGATGGGCAGATATGTGGTGGCATTTCATTTGTAGTTTAATAAATCAAGCTGGCCTGAGGATCAGAAAAGTAAAACAGCCACACTGGCCAGTCTTACAGACCAGGCAGTGGTGACACACACCTTTAATCCCGGGAGCCACACTAGCTTGCCACAGAAACCAGTTGGTAGTGGTGCACACCTTTAATCCCAGAGAGGATTATAAAACGGGAGGAGACAGCTCTCACACATAGTCTCATTCTGAGATTCCTGGAGGCAGGTTCGCCATTTCGGATTGAGGTAGAGGTAAGAGCCAGTGGCTGACTGTTTTGCCTTTCTGATTGTCAGGATGAACCCCAATATCTGTCTCTGAGTCTTTATTAATCATGCTTCACAGATGGATGGCCTGGTTTGTTGATATTATAGTCATAGTAGTAGGTAGTATTCTGGTGGTTTGGGGAGCTGGGGATATCCTCCATATTTTTAATCAGCTCAAAGTCACCAAAAATAACCACACAGTGGACTTGTTCAGCAGTTTCAGAACAGGCATAGCTCCCCAGTCTCCCCTACTTCACAGCCAGAGCGATTCTGGTTCCTGTCACTGGGGAGCAGTCTCACACCCGGGAGAGGCACCAGGAGCCCATCTACTCCCTTGCCTTGCAAGGATCACAAAATTAAAAATAAAAAATAAAAAAAAAGAAAAGAAAAGGCTATGTTTAAAAAAAAAGTCTTATTGGAAAACATATTTTGTTCCTTTATTTTTTAGGATTTTCATTTGAGATAGAATTTTGAAATTTGAGGGTTGTGATTTGAGGGATGAAAAGGAATGGGGAAGTGATATATTTTAATTGCAAAATTTGAAAACAAAATAAAAATAGAATAATAATAAAAATAAAATATAATCACCTAAAAAAATGTAACCATGCAATTTCATTTAGTTTGGGGGCTACCCCTTGTCTTCTGGTGCAGTGGGCTTGCAAAGCAGAATTCCCCGCAGGGACCAGCCCATGTTAGTCAGCACCCACTCTGTGCCAGGCTCTATGATGACCACCTGAACATAGACGATCTCAATTCATCCTCCCATTACATTTTTATACTTCACAGATGAGGAAACTGAGGCCAGAAGAGGTAGGTGCTTTCCCATGACCGCTTTTGGAACATATGCAAGTCAGCTGACTGTAAATCAGAGGCCATACTTTCTCATAGTTACCTGGGAGTCAAAGTGGGGTGTGTGTATTGCACATGCTCCCATTTCAACGCCTGTACAAAGGGGCCCATCTGAGGGCATGCCTGAAGACCTCTGCCTTACTGTGCTGCCTATGGTGTGAGGACCCTGGAACGGCCCTCCTTGAGGTTCAAATGTGGTCCCTGACTTCTGGCCAGAGCCAGGTGTTTCTAAGTTGGGATTCCAGGCAGATTGGGCCTCTGGGAAGCAGCTGTCCAGCTTCCCCAGCCTATAGGTGTGTCCAAACTATGACCTGTGGAACACAGGCAGCCTAGGAGAGCTACGACTGTGACTCAACACAAAACTATAAACATTAATTTAATGTGTTTATTTATTTTAATTGAATGAAGCGATGGCTGGTAAAGCGCCAGCATGAGAACCTAAGGTCAGATCCCCAGCATACATGTCAGAGCTGGTGCTGAGGTGTGGATCTGTGTACCCAGCAACTACTGGAGGAGGTAGGTAGAGAAGGCAGAGCCCAGGGGCTCTGCATCTGGGGAACTCAAGTTCAATGAGTAACATAGTAGACGCGAGAAGAAAACATCTGACATTGACTTCTGACCTCTATGCACACCTGTGCACACACATGCACACACACAGCATCCATCCATCTGTGTATCTATGTATCTATGTATGCATCTATCTATATCTATTATCTATCTACCTATCAATCATCTGTCTGTCTATCTATCTATCTATCTATCTATCTATCTATCTATCTATCTATGTATCTATCATCTATCTATCTATCTATCTATCTATCAATCATCTATTTATGTAACTTAGTGTTTACATAGTTAAAGTATGGACTTTGTAGATGACAGTGTTATGTATGTCACAGTGTTCAAAGGTTGGACACACCCATAGGGATGGAATTGTGCCTCCCATCCTCCCAGGTTCTCCTGCATACTGTCCTCCTGGAGTTCTTGCTGGGGCCTTTGACAAGAGACACTGAATCACCCCCGAGGCTGGGCTGGGCCGACACTGATGATAGAAAAGTGAATTTTAGAGCTCCCGCCCCATGAAGCTGCAGAACGCAGTCCTACCTGTCACTCTCATCCTGCCGAGGAGAACGGCTCGGAGTCAGCGTAGTCAGCGTTACCTGTGGAGAGAAGAAAGTCCAATTACACACTGGCCTTCGGGGTCTGAGAATCAGGAAGAGTGCCGAAACTGAGTGTGGCATCTAGAACCCGTTGGCTCGGGGTCCTCTTGCCTGTCCTGTGAGTAGGGGAGCAGCGTACTCGCTTTTCTACCTCATGTCTCCTACACTCAGGCTTCCTAGTAGAGGAAGGTGCATCTTGGGAGACTTGATTTACCTTCACTCATTCGGCCCCATTCCTACTTCCTCCCTTTCTCCATCTCTTCCCCAGCCACCCAGGGCTGTCAAGCCAGGAAAAGCATCAGGGAACCGAGGCCTACACGTGACTTTGGTCAATGTATGGAGGCCTGAGGAGCCAGGCCTGGCAGCCTGCAGGCAAGCCAGGTGCTGTGTGAAAAAGAATCTTTTCAGGGATAAGTAAGGACAGCTCGCAGAGTTAAGTCCAAGGTCACTCAGCTGGGGAAGTGAGAGGAGGGATGTAGACGGGAGTCTGCAGCTACAGGGTCCCCTGGGCTCCCGTCAGGGTCCCACTTCTAGTACTTTTTATTTCAGAAGAAAGCTTAAACCAGAGTTTTCTTCTTTTTTGAGTCCTGGGCAGAGTCTGAGTCATCCTCCCCACACCTTCTGTATTCCTCTCACACACTGGGCAGTTGCCAGTTAATGTGGCAGCTTTGAAAGCTTTCTGGAGGCCAGTGGTAGTTAGGAGAGGGGAGGGCTGGGGGTGGTGAGCTGGAGTCTGGGCTAAGTGGTCTTTTCGTTCTGTTGTGATTTCATTCCCCTCCTCCCCTTCCCCCTAGAATTTTCTTTCTCCCAAGAATCTATCTTAACAGACATTATCTCAACTGTCTCCAGGGTCTAACTGCCCTGGTCACTCTCTGGTAAGACTGGAGGTGGGACTATGCCCCACAGGGCTCTAACACCCTTCTACATCAGGTCAAGCATCTCTGGCCTGCCTGTTGGTTGTCTGTATGGGAAGTACTAACATATAAACAATGGTAACAGCTACAGAAACCTCCACTGGGAAGATCTTCTGCTCTGACCCCCCCCCCTGGGGCCTTCTAAGGAAAGTCTGAGCTGTTACCTTGCTGTGTCCCCCCCTTTTCCCTTCAAAAAAATTTCTAGAAACCCTTTAACTTCTCTGAGATTCAAATGACAAATTGGTTTTCAGATTCTCTATCTATCTATCTATCTATCTATCTATCTATCTATCTATCTATCATCTATCTATCTATCTATCTATCTATCTATCTATCTATCTATATCATAATGGCACGTGGTCCTTAGGAATGTGACTTGTAGCCCTGGGACCTCCACCTGAGAAATGAAGGACATTCTGAGCCCTGCGCCATTGAAGTGTTGGGCAGGCTGGGTAGAAGGGCAGGCCTGGAATAGGACAGGCATGGATAGGAGAAAGTGTGCAAAGAAACAGAGCTGACCCAATCAGGGGCAGGGGTGGAGGAGGCTGAGGAAGGAAAAACTAAAAAGAATGAATTGACAGACACAGGGATGGAAGGTGATGAGGATGTGAGGGAGGCAGAGGGAAGAGGAAGGAGTCTTGGTGAGTACTCAGAGATACAGAAGAACCCTGCAGTGTTTAGAGGTTTAGAGAGGAAGAGAGAGCCAGAGCACAAGGAAGACTGGCTGGGTACCAAAGCTTGGCAGGACCTGGCTTCAGGGTTGGGGTTGGGAGTGGCAGGCAGTCCTGCCTTGGCCATGGGCTCTCCAGCCTGAAGTATCTCCCGAGGAGCTCCCCGACCTCCGGAGTCCCCCAATGTGCTCATCGTGGAGCCAGAGCGTAGGACTGGTCTGCTAGTGGCAGGGGGTGGGGGTGGGGTGCTACTAGGAGGGGAAAAAAACGACACCAGGAACAGGTAAAACACGGCGGGGCAGCATTTTCTCCTAGTCACAACTGGCCATTCAGGTGGCAGAGCTGCAGGGAAAACGTGAGCTTGTTCTAGATGTAGCCAGGCCTCCTGGCCTAGGGCACAGATAAATCTGCAGGCTCAATCTCACCCAGCAGGTAGGACGGGTATGCAGAAAAGCACAAAAGAAGGGTTGTGAGGAGGGCCTGAGTTGCTGTGAGCTGTCCCTTCCCTCCCTGACCAGAGATACACCAGCACCTCCCTGTCCTTGGCCTCTCCCTCTGTCCTGCCCTTCCCTACACTCCCTGTAGTTTTCCAAATCCAGATCAATTCAGGAGCTGCAAACATTTTGTTCTCCCCAGCAAGCCTTGTGTCCTGCAGGCCCAGAGCTACAAGACCATGGAGGAGTGCTCAATATATATTCAGAGATGGGACTGCATTGAATCCTGCACAGTCCTGGAAGGGGAGGGGAGGATAAAGCTACCACATGGAGAAGGCAATGGATCATAGAGGTCAAGGGATTTCTAAGGCCACACAGCAGATTGTGGGTTTTGTTCCTGAAGCATTTTCTGAGCATCAGGGGGAAGCCAGGTTGGGCACTGGGCACAGGGGATTGGCTGTGACAAGTCATTCTTGAAAGCACCCCTGAATTTTTCCCTTGCTAGTCTTTTGTCTGAACACTGTTACTAAGAGGCTATGCCTGGAACAGTCTTACTCAATTTATAGGCCTCATGGCAAAAACTACTTCCTCTGGGAAATCGTCTGTGACCCTGGAAGCTAAGGTTAAACACATACAGGTAGTCGTGGACAAAGGCACATTTGTCACGTTCCCCTGTCACACGGGGCCTCATCACATCCTTTGTGATTGCTTTTGCAGTTAGCAAGGGACTCAGACAAGACCAATCTGATCCTTCACTGAGGGGTATATGGAGGCCAGGGGAGAGGCTGTTCCTGGGGGTCTGGCAGACATGGCCTTGCTGCTTGTGCACTGGGGCTCATGTTGGGCACAGCTCTCGGAGCTTTGACAAGGAGGCGATGCTATTTCCCCATTGTGGAAGTGGTCAGGCAGCAGTCACCCTGTCTAGAAGGGCTGTGCTGGCTTGACAGCGTCATGCCATCTTGCTTACAGGGCTCACTGTTTTCAGCTCTGTTTATATTCCTCCTTGGCGCCATGCCCATAGGGATGTTTATTCTTTCTGTGGAATCAAGGTGTAACCAGAGCTTTTCTGCCTGCTGCCTGTGACATTTCCTTGCCTTTTATCTCATTTTTTGTTTGTTTTTCTTCCTTCCTTCCTTCCTTCCTTTCTCTCTTTCTTCTACTTCCTCCTCCTTTTTTTTTTCTTTTTTACAGTGTTAGGCATTAAACCTAGGACATTGAGCATGCCAAACATATGCTTTAACACTGAACTCTACCCTAACCCCCCAATCTCCGTTGCCACATTTCTTAAAGGCCCTGCAGGATCCAGGATGTCAGTTTCTTCCTGTTTCCAGTGACTTTCATCTACAGCCCGTCTAGAGTCAAGGTGGACAGAGGAAGGAGAGACTCTCTCTAGGCTGAGGATGGATGACCGAGGAGTGGTCAGAGCATCTCATCAGCATCACTACAGAAGTGAGAACTTCACCTGTTAAATTCTGACTCTTTGGGGCTGGAGAGATGGCTCAGAGGTTAAGAGAATTGCCTGCTCTTCCAAAGGTCCTGAGTTCAATTCCCAGCAACCATATGGTGGCTCATAGCCATCTGTAACGGGGTCTGGTGCCCTCTTCTGGCCTGCGGGTATACACACAGACAGAATATTGTATTCATAATAAATAAATATTAAAAAATTCTGACTCTTTGACCTCTCCTGCCACCACAAGGACCCTTCCATCTAAGTACTTGAACTCCTTCCTGGGTAGTTCAGGTTGGCCCTGAGCTTTGGTCCAGCTCCCCTGTGGCTCCTCTGGACAGCCTTTCTTCATGTCCCCATTTTGGCAACGGGCATATGGAAGGTGTGCTGAGAGTGAAGGGAAGCTTCCTGCAAACTGGCCCTCTCCCTGCACCAACACAGCTTCTTCCTTTTTTTTTTTTTTTTTAATCTTGCATCATTTCCCCCTCAAGCTAGACCACCCAGAGGACATCCCTGGACTTTAGAACCCACCCGGCATCTGCAAATCTAAGCCCTGGTTATTTCCACACCATTCTCAGACATTTCACAGATTGAGCGAGTCACAGAAGGCTGCAGATCACTGTCCTCCCAGAACTCTACCTGTCCCCCCATCCCTGGGACTCATTGCTAGGGACAAACACTTTGGGAGACGGAAGTCCTGCCAGGGCAATGATAGGGTCTGGGTGACACAGCCCAGGGGGAAGAAGATGAGACCAAGGTAGGGACCTGATTGAGAGTGAAAACTAAGACCCTCAAGGGACAATGGGACACAAGCTGACATTGCTGTGGAAAGCCCTGCCCACTTGTTCCTGTCCCTCACTCTCTCACCATCCCTATCCACCCTGAATCACCAATCTGTGCGAGGCCACCATTTATTCCTGATAGCTCTCCTAACACCCTGATATTTACAGCAATTATTGATGATGTCACCAATATGGACAGAGCTGTGTAGTGAATAAATCCATAAACAATAAGACTGCTGGTGGCAATAATTTGTTCCAGTGACATTTATTGAAGAAAGAAATAGATGATTACTCCCATAATATCCTTTCCTCACTATTATCTTTTAGAGAAATTTTTTTAAAAAAGTGTAGGTACTGCTTGGTTTTTATCAACTTGACACAAGCCTAGACATTGAGGAGAGGGAACCACGGTTGAGACAACACGGCCATAAGATTGGCTTATAGGTAAGCCTGTGGGTCTTTTTCTTAATTAGTGACTGATGGGGGAAATTTCACCCTTGGGCAGGTAGACCTGGGGTGTATAACAAAGCAGGCTGAGAAAGTCGTGTGCAAGGAAGCCAGTGCACTGCACGCCTCTGCTTTAGATTCTTGCCCTGCTTGAGGTTTTGCCCTGGCTTCCCTCAGTGATGGAGTGTGATTTGAGTTGTGAGATGAAATAAACCCTTTCCTTCCCAAGTTGCCTTTGATTGTGGTATTTTATCACAGCAATAGGAACCTTAAGGAAGGTGTTCTGTATCTCTGCGTGTGTGTGTGTGTGTGTGTGTGTGTGTGTGTGGTTTTGTGTGTGGTACCGGAGGAGGCCAGAAGAGGGTGTCTGATCCCCTGAGGCCGGAGTTACAGGAGGTTGTAGGTTGCCAGCCATGTGCTGAGCCATCTCTCCAGGCCCTATTTATTGATGAGATTTTACTCTCACAGTTCCTGTGGGGTTTAGGCACTGTGTAACCTTGAATTATTATTTTTTAAGGTTATTTACTTATTTATTTATTTATTTATTTAATATACAATATTCTGTCTGTATGCCTGCAGGCCAGAAGAGGGCACCAGACCCCATTACAGATGGTTGTGAGCCACCATGTGGTTGCTGGGAATTGAACTCAGGACCTTTGGGTGAACAGGCAATGCTCTTAACCTCTGAGCCATCTCTCCAGCCCCCAGCCTAAGGTTTTCAACCAGCCTTAACATAACCAGTAACCTTACAGGAATTGCCAAATGACAAAAACTCTGTTAGAACTAACTGGACTCCTGTACCAATGTTAAGGAGATTCAAGGAAGTCATAGTCTCATATGGCATGCACCTTGAATTATTGTTTTTTAACAAATTTAATCCTATAGTGATTAGTGAAGAATCTGGGGGAAAACTGAGTCACTGAGTGATCAGATCATATAGCTAAGAGTCGGAGGAACAAAAGATTACAGATGAGGCAGTCTGTATCAGGAGTCCATTTTATCCTCTTTTAATTTAAGTGAGTGTCTCGGGCTGGCCTTAAGTTCTATACAGAGCCTAGGCTGGTTTTATCATCCCCCTGCCTCAACCTCTGGAGGGCTGGGATTACAGGCATGTGCCGCCATGCCCCCTAGGAGGTCTGTCCCATGCTTAGTCAACTATTCTAATTGATTAGGTGGGAAATATTCTGGGCGCTGCAGGCTGTTTTTTTTTTTTTCTTGATTGTTCCCAGAGATGACAGTTCAACTTTGAACTGGAGTAGGATGGAAACCGTGGACATGTGTATGAGTGGATGTGTGCCAACAAAGCTCTAAGAAAGAGGCGTTGGGCTGCCTGTGGGGCCTAGTTATCTATGTGTAGTTCTGTTAGCTAAAGGTGCACATGGGCCTGAAGCTCAGTTTAGGTGATGGAGAAGGGCTATGGGCTTGGGATAAGAGAATGTCTCAAAGGTTCTGTCTCCACCTTCATCCTCCTGACTGGCAGGCCAGTCCAGGAGGCAGCTCCATGAGAACCTGTTCACTTTGATGACTGGTTGCTTGTCTTCTGTCTTTACATGGGTTTTAGGAGGCCACTCCTCTCGGTATATCTGAGAGGTCATGGTCTGATACGCTTTGCTCAGTACGCCTCTCCTGCGGCCCTGGCTGCCCAGGGGAGGCCCTCAGGAAGATGACGGCTTTAGTTCCTTCACTCCTGTAAAACTTCAGGTGGCCCAGGAGCTGAAAGCCTGCAGTGCAGGGTGGTTAATAATGGGACATGGTGGAGCCTGCTGTGGCCTTCACTGTGGTATTGCAGGCATAACCCTCTTTCAATGCATTTTCCTGTCATACATGCCCCTCATCATGGCTGACTTAATGGGAATTAGGTACAGGTTTGCACCAGACACAGTAATCCCACAAAAGATGTGCTTCTTAAGGAACAAATGTAAGGTAATGAAGCAACACTCCTGACTTCATCTCTGGGAATGCTGTACGTACCCTCAACTATACCAGTACCCTGGAAGCCAGGAACAAGCTAGTTTTTGGATGATGAATAGGCAATGGAGTTGCCCAAATACCTACAGAGCAGCTGGAGAAAAGTGGAAGACATCTTCCCATACAGCCCTTCTCCTTCTCTCACTTGGCTGAGTTGGGGGCAACTTCAAGGGCTGGATATAGTCAGGTAAGCAGTTTGAGTCACCAGGATTCTCTTTGCTGAAAGTCTGGCTGGGGCCATCAGAATACCAACTGAACTATGGTAGGGCTACCTGGACCATGAGGGTTCATTCTCTGGTCACAGCAGACCTGCTGATGACTTGGACCACCTCAAATCAGGTGGAGCATGAGGAAATGCACTCACATGTAGGTAATTTGGTTTCTATCAGAGGCAGCTTAAAAATTTTAATAATTCAAGACGGTTGCCTCTTGGGAATGTGCTTGAATATGTTTCATCTAGAAAGGTATAAGACCCAGATATCTGGCCAAAGGAAAAGTAATCACAAAACTGATTCTAATAAGCCCCATTGTTCTACCAACTTGGAATCCCGACTCCACCCTTAATTTTCCAGCAATCTTGCCAGGATTCTTTTCTATGAATTACATTTTTTTGCCAGGGAGGAAATTGTGACCTCGGAAGGTTAGGCAACTTGCCCAGTGTCAGTTAAGTAGGATGGCTTAGTCAGCCTTGCTGTCTGTTACTGCTGTAACTCGTTAAGTGAGGAAGGGACAGTGCAAGTGAGGATGTGGTGGGCATCTGTTGCCATGGGGACCTAACACCCAGAATCCATTCTCTCTTTGACTGGTGAGCACTCTAATTATCATCTGGAGAAAGATGTGCCTTCTGTTCATCTGGATAGAGCTGACCTTCATCCATGACTCCAGGATGGCCATAGGGCCTGGATGAAGAGAGTCTGTGGCATCCTTTGATCATAGACATGGCAGAGATGTTCAAGCAAAGAAAAGCTGCCTTCCTGTTAGCATCTGGAGTCCATGTGACTCGGAAGTAGAGGTTCTGAGTACATCTCTGCTCCCCTGTAGGGACAGCTCTCCTGTGTGGGCAGCTCATGGGGAATAAAGCAACACGGAGACAGGACCCTCGCCGTATTTCGGTCACCCTCAGGCTTCTCTGTTTACGTGCCGGTGCATGTCTTTTATTTTTCCCTCGTTGGCACCCAAGATTCCTGCCTAAAATGCAAGGGTTTTCCCACGTACGTAGGTGAGAAAATTTCGATTTACACTCCCATTCTGTCTCTTCCCTCTCAAAGTCTGATCACAGGACTAAAAGAATCACGTCGACTCCCTGTGTCTTCAGCAACAGTTTCCTTCCTGATGTCAGCTCCAATGAAGCCATCTTTCTGCCGCTACCTTCGCTGGAGGAATACCTATGGGAGGAGCTAAGGCCTTGGCATGGTTCCTGTAAACAGACCGTTGACTCTAGCTCCTGCCACCACCCTTCCGCTCTTTTCCAGAATTGTCCATAGCTGCCTTCAGTGCTGTTTGGGAGGTCTTCCTGGTCAAAACGTCTGTCACTACCATTCCCAGCTTTGGCGCTTGCATTTTGTCTTGAGACTTCGGTAGCTCATCTGTAAAATGGGGCTAAGAGCCACCATGCAAGGTTGTAGTCAAGTGCTCAGTGCCATGCTAGATGCAGAATCAATCCCCACATGTACCACCTGTCATGTTATGATTGATCATGCAGATCTTTTTACCTGTCCGTTCTGGTTTGCCTGTGAGATATTCCCCAAAAGCTCATGTGTTGAAAGCTTGGTCCCCATCGCAGCGGTATTGAGAGTTTCAGACCCATCACTATGGGGGTGATTGGACCGTGAGGGTTCTAACCTTAGGACTGGATTGATCTATCACGTCCACAACTTAACGGGTTAGTAGGACATGGTGGACACTTTAAGACGTGGAACCTAGTTTAAAGAAGCAGTTCCTGGCGGTATGGCCTTGAAGAGGTTTGTCTCCAACCTCTACCTCACTCTCTCATTTGCTTTCTAGACGTCAAAACGTGAGCAGCTTGGTTTCACCAAGTCCTCCTCCCCATGATGCCCTGCCACACCACAGGCCCCGACCATCACATCAGAGCCAAACAACAGCACTGCGAAAGCGGGAGCCAAATAAATCTTCTTTTCAGTTGATTTTCCCTGGTATTTTGTCAGCGTGACAGGAAGCTGACCAACAGAACGCATCTCTTGTGGTGTCACCACCTGTTTAACTCCTAGTCTTCAGTGTGACCTTTCTGAGATAGCATTCTGTCATTTTAAAAGCCTGGTACCTTGCACAGTGCCTAAGGCACGGTAGGCATTGAACGCTGAAAGGAGTACCAGCTTGTGTGGTCACCGGCTCCAGGCCAGCACCACCAGGGTGGGTGATTCACTATTGACATTTGCAGATTCACACCAGTCCAGCCTCAAGGAATACGTTAATGTCCCCATTCTTTATTTTTAAGAGAAATAAAACTAAATATAAATTGCAGTAAGTAAATGGCTTAAGTTTATCTACTATAAAACAGGTGCCCCGATCTTTGGAGACAGAGGCTGAGGCAAGTACAGAAGATGAAACAATTGACCCAAGGATGAAAGAGGAGGCAGAGCTGGGATCCAGATTCTGAAGCTGCAGGGTCTCTCTCCAAGCCTCTGGATCTCTTGGCTGCTCCCTGGGGAGGAAACCAGAGTTCCCACCCATCTTCTAGAGCCTCCAAAAGGATTGGTACCAGTCAGCGGAGGTTTCAGCACCCTCCCCTACAGGCTATCCATGGGCTATCTGAAGCCACACCAGCTCCCCCGTTAGACAGACTGGTGTCATCCCAGGAGGAGCAGCTGCTTCAGACTAAGAAAATGTCAAGACAGAACTTTTGAATATCTTCCACCATAAAAAAAAAATGCCTAAGTGCCAGCGAGGAGGTTCAGCGTGTTAGCTCGGCAGATCCCCAAATTCCTACCCGAACAGAGCAAGCACCTGGGGTCAACTTGCAGACAGGGCAATTAACTCAGAAAGAGCTGTGTATCTGAGCACAGCACAGAAGGCTCCAAGCCTCCAGGTGGACATCAGGTGACACACAGGGGGATCAACTGGGAGAAGCCAAGCTCTCCCCTACAGCTGTGCTTAACCTGGGTGTAACACGACCTGATCTCACCTCTGACCACCAGCTCTTCCCTGCTCTGGTCTGCACTGCTCCTTGTTCCCCTTTCCCCCTTCCCCTACCCCTTGTCTTCCCCCTTTCTAAGTTCACACTGCCTTAGCACATGTAACCTACTGAGAGAAATCCATCCCTAATTCCCAGGCCATCTCTACAGCAGGTGACAAAATTTGATAATGGTGACCCTCGCTTTTTTTTTTCTTTCCGGGTAGAACAATGGTGCCTTTGCCTGTCCTGCAGGACGTGCCCAACTAATATACCATGAATGAATCACCTGCAGGGACACTCCCGAGCCAACTCTATCACAGGGCACCATAGCATAGTGCCAGGGTATAAACTTTGCAGCCACTCTGCCTGGGTGAATGAAGACTCTCCCATTTTCGGAGCGGCAGTAACGATGAGAAACGGCCTCACATAGGATGCCACATGGAGAACATTTAGCACCCAGCCGGTGCCATTTTCTGTGCTGCCCTGATTCCTCCCACAGAGGCTTAACGGGCAAGAAAAGAAGGGACTGAGCTGGGATATTCAGCCATTCACTCCCATTTCACAGATGAGGAAAGCAGATCTCAGCTAGAGGGCTCAGCCCGGCACTGCTAGACAATCTCTCATGACCACACACTTGTGACTGACCTAACATTCCAGGTCAGTCATTTCAGAGATAAAGGAAATCCATCTGCCCCTCTTTATCCAGTATTCAAACACTCGTGGAACTTGATGTTCATCTATAACGTATGTTTTTTTTTCTTTTAAAAACCAGTATACACGGGTAAATTAATACATGTGGAGATTCCCTGTGGTCAGGGGATAATATCATCTACAGTGTGGGTTTTCAAAACCTAGGCTTTTTGGACCCCAGATCTTATCTTTGTACCCACAGCAGTCTTAACGAATCAATCACAGCAAGAACTGCACAGAGTGCTAACCCAGCCTTCCCCTTGACTGTCAGTTGGGCTAGATCTCCTCAGAGGAAGCGTATTAGAAGTAGTTGCTTCCTTTTCCTTTTCCTCTTGCTTCCTCTCCCAGGCACACTTAGTCTTCATTTCCCATCCACCCTGCTTCTATCCTTCTTTAAAAAACGTGGACCAAGAGGTAAAACCCTCACCAGCCTGGCAGAGACGTACCTGAGGGTCAGGGCTCACGCTTCCCTACCTTGGTGGAGAAGGGGTGTAGAATCAGCCGATGATGCCTTGAGTCCTGGCTGGACCAACTGCCCCCCGAGCCTGGCTACCGACGGAGCAGCGTCCTGGTTCCTGGAGGGGTTGTGGCCTTCCCTAGGTGATTGCCCTCCTCTGAACGCAGCTGTTTAAGGAAATGACACGGCAGGTCATGGGCTCCTCGGGAAGGCAGCTGCTCCTAACCCTGCCCATATTCTGCTCTGCTGGGAAGAGATTTGCCCATAAACCCTCCCTGCCTCATTAAACAGTCTTACCAGGAAGGAGGAAGTTTAATCTAGAGCTCTCTGGGGAGGAAATAAGGCTAAAGTCTGATGGGCAGGGCTCTGCTTGTTTTCATCCACACACACAGACACACACAGCGCTCCAGTCTTCCTAGGTGACACTTGCGTGCGAACTTGAACAATTTGGGAGTGAATCTCTCCCCTTCCCCAACACCAACAATGAAACAGAAAACACCCAATTGGTGATAAATATCCCAGGTTTGAGAGCGAGGCTGGGCATGCGCAGTGAGATCGAACATGCCGCAGTGAGGTTGTGAAAGGACTGGTTGAGGGGGCACTTAAGGAACCTGGCCATCTTGGATTAAAAGTGAAGATCCACGGAGAGAGGAGGGGGGGGGGAGAAAGACTCTGGATTTAGGTTGTGTTTGGTTCGAAGCATCATCACCTCAGCTCCCTGGCAGCCCTTTATCCAAAGAGTCTGGAATGTTTGGTTGGGGCCTCCACTCCAGCTCCTGACGTGCATTTTGGAATGTTTGAGTGGAAAGCTCCATTTCAAGCTCCCTCCCCTGGGAGTTGCTCGGTTCAAACTCCACTTCCTAGAAAGCCTGCCAAATGGTGACCCCTCCCACAGACTATTTTAACTGCCCCCCAGAGAACCAACACGTGGTCATTCCTGTCCTTTCTCCCTGTGTTTTCCCAGGGGCCACCCGGGGGTGCTGGCATCCATTAAACCTGGGCTTCTTCTATTTGGTATTATTTGGTTTAATTTGGATTATTGCGTTGGCAGAAAGGCTTACTGGGCCTAAAAAAAACTTAACATGTTGCGGGGCGGGGGGGGGGGTTACAAGAAATTAGAGATTAATGTTGCAAGCAGAGAAAGGAAACAAGGACGGTGAAAGGGGTATTTGCCACCTCCTGCTCCCTAGCAACCAAGTATATCTGGAGGGAGACAACATCCCTGGTCACCAATGGAGACTTTCATTCCTTATATCTCTTTAGGATGAACTTTTGTCCAGAAGGACCTTTATTCCTTACACATTGGGCAGGGGTGAGGCTGGGGCTTCCACATCTGTTAACCCCTATTGCTCCCCCAAAAGATGTGCGACCCCCTTGGGTGCGAACTTGAACTACTTGGGAGTGAATCTCTCCCTCCTCAACGAACACCAACAATAAAATAAGAAAACAGAAAACACTCAATTGGAGATAATTTTCCAGGGTCTGAGTGAGCTTGGGCAGGCATCTGCAGAGTCAACTCTTCATAAGCACAGTTCTGCAAAAAACACATCACACTATCCTGGGGGTAGAAAAGGGAGTGATCTCTTTCCTTCTCATCACAAAGAGTCATGGCAGGCAGCCTAATAACAAAAGACAGACTACCAAGAGAAAACATTGTATTTATCAACATTCACATGCACAGTGGAGCTATCCATGATTTGAAAATTCACAGGGCTGCAGGGCGGTGGTGTTGCACACCTTTAATCCCAGCACCCAGGCAGGAGGCAGAGGCAGGCGGATCTCTGGGAGTTAGAGGCCAGGCTGGTCTACAGAGTGAGTTTGTTCCAGGACAGGCTCCAAAGCTACACAGAGAAACCTTGTCTGGAAAAAACCAAAGGCAGAAAAAAGAAAATTCACAGGGTCAGAATCTAGCATTCTGTCCTCACAGGGAAGAGGGACATTGAGTAGGTGGTCCAGGCGAAGAGAGACCTCACTCAGACACAGCTCTAACTATGCAGATAGGCCACCACACAGTCTCCCAGGGTTGGCTGTCCAGTGAAAAGCCCATGAAAAGCCTGTCTGGGTTTGGTGGTGACTTTTGGCCTCCTTTCCCAGTGTTCATCATTCCTGCTTATGGGATAGAGTCCCAAAGAGTTTATCGTCACTGCATTTCCTGCAGGAGAACCTATTCCAGAAGGAGGATACCAGTGAGAGGCCTCACTCTGCACTTCGGGGAGAAGCAAGAAGGTCAAAGGGACCCAGTGTCCGAAGCTATTCTTTAGCTTAGTTCTTTGGCATAGTGTTAAACTTTGGGGTATGGTTTTCTAGTTTCCACTTCTCTGTCCTGCTGTATGAGAAAGTGAGTTTGCCTTAGTTAGGGTTTCTATTGCTACGAAGAGACACCACAACCCCAGCAACTCTTATAAAGAAAACATTTGATTGTGGTGGCTCACTTACAGTTTCAAAGGTTCGGTCTATTATCATCATGAGGAGAGCACGGCAGCGTGCAGGCAGACATAGTGTTGGCTACATCTTGGCCAGAAGGCAGCAGGAAGTCAACTGATAGTCACACTGGCTGGTATCCTGGGTGTAGGGAACCTCAAAGCCCACCCTCACAGTGACATAGTTCCTCCTGCAAAGCCATACCTGCTCCAACAAGGCCATACCTCCTAATATTGCCACTCTCTTTGGGGGCCATTTATTTTTTTTCTTCAAACCACCACAGTTTCACAGAGTCAGAGAACACGGGTAGTGTTCACCAGAAATCGTGCCTCAACTGCAGACAATGCCCAGTGAAGACTTGGCAAGTGACAAGAGAAGCGTTAGTTCTGGTTCTGCAGTAAAGACCAATCTGGTCACCAGCTGGGGCCCTGGAGTTGCTTGATCTGGGGTTTGGGGGCCGATCCTGAACATTTTCATAGCAACATTGTCTTCATAGGATGGTCCCTTTGTTATAAGGTAGCTGTGAGCATAGAGAACACACATTACAGCCCTCCAGGCATGTCTACCTTGCAGTTTGTGGGCTGCACATGGCCCTAGATGGCTATGAACATGGTCCAGTGCAAAATCCAAAGCTTACTTAAAACATCGAGGGTTTTTTTTTTTTTTTTTGCTACTTTTTTTCTTCTTCATAATTTGATTGATTGTCTCTCAAACATGAGCTTTGGTGATGACAAGGTTGAATTGCAGTGCCACAGCTGCAATGCTCAGTCAGCCCGGACTTGGGATCATACCATAGCACCAGCTGTGCATTTGGCTTTGCCAGTGACAGAAGGCAGCTGCTCTCTCTTCTTTCCCAGAAATAGGAAGTTTTCCAGAATGGGAAGTATCGAACATGCAGCAACTGGTGTTTGACTATAGTCTCCCCGTCTCCCACCGTAGGCATTTGCTGCCAGAAGCTGACCCAGGAGTGAGAAGAAGGTGAGGACAGTCACCACCCCTTAGTGTTGCCAAAGGGTCCGGGGCACTGGCTTTGTCAATAGCAATCCATGTCTCAGGGGAGCTATGCTAGGGCAAAACTGGACTTGTTTTTATTTAGTTAAAAATCAATATAGTCCCATCACAAAAAGTTTGAAAGACTTTCTTCACCAGTGTGAAGGGAACATAGCCAGACTGTGTCCCCTGGGACTGTTACTGCCTTGGCTTGCTTCCTGCCCCAGCTGTGGTATGGGTGTATATTCTCTTCTCTCTTGTGCCTGAGGCTCTATTCTCTAGTCTTAGAAATCTGTAGATACGGGTTCTCGGTGCACACACTTGCACATGGTACAGGGCTATGCTTGGTTTACTCTTTCCAGAGCTGGGCATTTAGAGCCCTCCTGTGTGTGAAGGTGTGGGGTGTGGGCTTACAAAGAGACTTGTGCAAACCAACAATTGTGAATCATTTTCCTTCGTGTGTGTGTGTGTTTGTGTGATGTGTGTGTGTGCTGTGTTTGTGCTGTGTTTGTTGTGTGTGTGAGTGTGATTTATGTGTGAGTGTGATGCGTATGTATGTGTCTGTGAGTGTGATGTGTGTGTTGTGTGTGATGTGTATGTGTGTGTGTGATGTGTATGTGTGTGTGTGTGCTGTGGATAACAGATGAATGTGAAATTAAGAACAACAGTATTCAAAACGTGGTGAGTATAGTGGCTCATGCCAGTCCTTGGGGTTGTAGACAGACAATGAACACTTCAAGGTCATTCTTAGCTATGTGCAAGTTCAAGGCCAGCCTGGGCTCCAATGAGATCCAGTCCCAGGAAAATAACAAAAAATTATGAAGGACATTATTAGATGAGAGATACACACATTTGTAGTTCATCTTAACAATTTCCCATAAATGTTGTTACCTACAGCTTGTAAGTGGAGAAACCGAGGCACAGAGTAGTTAAAAGTAATTTGTCCATGCTGACACGGCTAACAAGTGGGAGCAATGAACATTTACACACACGCTCTTCTCTGAGATCATAGACACCAGCAATCTGGGTCCTTAAGCACATTGCTTTCTTGGAGCTTCAGAACACACAAGGCATTTTCTGAACTGAATCTGAAGATTTAGTTTATTTCTTCAGAGCTGGTGTGTTTTCAGAATTAGAATCCTTCATCCAGTGGGGGAAAAAAAAACACAGAGGAATGAACCCTCCCCTGGCTAGTCAGAGAGTAAATACATACATGCACATTCATGCACACATGAAGTCCACATGTGTCTGTGCACGAGTGTGCATGCAAAGGAGGAGCAGAAGTGCATGTCTGGGCGTCTACAGACCCTATCTGACCTTCTAGGTGCACAGGCAAAAATAATTGGCCATCAGTGAAATAAATGTCCCATTGCTTTAATTCTAATCTTTGAGAAGAGAGTAGACCAGGATCTACACCAAGGTTTTTTTGTGATCACTTCAACACCAAATTGGCATCATTTTTTTTTTCAGTACCTGTGGGCCTTGGTAGCAAAGGGAAGCCATCATGCTGAAGGAGGAAGACATAAAGCATTGCTTCCCCATGTGGCACTATCAATAAATCACCAACAATTCACAGTTTTCTTTACCCTCGTTAACTGAATCTAACACGATCCCATGTGCTTTATGCCATGATCTTTGTAATTAAATCAGGGCCTTGGCGTGAAAGTCATGGTTAGAGATAGAATACCAATGTAGTAAGCAATTTCTCTTGAAAGGATCCGTGGCGCATTTCTCCCTTCGGTTTTTTTTTTTTTTTTTTTTTTTTTTTTTTTTTTTTTTACGACTACTGCAGCTCCTTTCAAAATCGCAGTGGTGAAGGCTAGGGCCAGAGTCTGTCGGCATGTGTGTCTGTGA